AGGGGGCAGAGAGAGAGAGAGAGGAATGGAAAGAAAGAGGGATGGGAGGCCTTTTAAAAGGGAACATAGTGAATGTGCACAGGTGGTGCTCTTAGTGGCTGCAGCTGGGGCATATCCTGTCAGAACCCCAAGGACAGGCCAGTACAGATGCCTGACTACTGACAGCATATATCTTCCTCCATTAGCAAACCAGCCAGGATATAGAGACTGTCAGTTTTCTGTTAATATTTTATTTTTTTATATTTTTAATTTGTTAGGAAAGAGTTACTACTTTTAGTATGCTAAAAAGGAAGTTGTTACAAATATTAACACAGTTCTTCAAGAAACTTAAAAGTTTGTTTATTTTTAAATTTATGTGTATGTGTGCCATGTGTGCCCTTGGAGGCCAGAAGAGGCTGTCAGGTTTCCTGAAACTTGAGTTACAGGTGGTTATTAGCTACTTGATATGGAATGGAACCCGAGTCCTCTGTAACTGAGGAGCCACCTCTCAGCCCTCTAAGAAACCTCTTAAAGAAAAATTAGCTGGTAGTATAATCCAGATTAAATGTGAAATAACTATATAGAGATTTTAGAAGGGTTCTTTATTTGATAATTGTTTTAAAAATTTATATAATATTTTATGTAACATTCATCCATACAATGTATTTGGATCAAATTCCACCCCCTATCCTTTCCCTGCCAATTCTTCTATCGTGTCTGCATCACTTTCATTCCTAGCTCTATTTGCTCTCTTAAGTTTGCACATGCTCTTTTGCTCTCACACTGTTCCCCCCATTTCTTAATACCCATGGAGTCCATTTAGTGTTGTCTGTGTGTGCATGGTTATGAGACTGTCTACAGGAGCATGAGTAGTCTCTGAGAGGCCATATCCCTGGAGAAGAGTGATTCTCCTTTCTCCAGCAGCCATCAGCTGCTAAAAGCTCTTCAGATAGAGCTGGGATTTTTATGAGCCCCCCCCCCCACCCCATGCTGGGATCTTGGCTGATTTGACCTTGTGCAAGCCCCAGCTACCAAGAGTTCCTGTGTGTAGCTGCATTGTCATGTCCAGCCCAGCAGATACAGTTTTTCTATAAACTGTACTCCTTCAGGTTCTTGAAATCTTTCTGCTCCCTCTTCCAGAGTGGCCCCTCAGCTCTCTCTCTCTCTCTCTCTCTCTCTCTCTCTCTCTCTCTCTCTCTCTCTCTCTCTCTCTCTCTTGTCTGTGTAATATAGATGTTCTATTTAAAACTGAGACTGCAGCATTCTGCATGTTGACCATTTATAGGTCTCTGTATTAGTTGCCATCTTCTCTAAAAAGAAATTTGCCTGATGAGTGTTGAGACTGCACAGATGTTTAGGTATAAAGATAAGAACTTAGGGGCAGGTTATTACTGTGTCCATTTAACAGAATAGAAGTACTGTTCTTCCTTAGGGCTGAGGACTCAGCCAGATATGGATTTTGGGGGCCATTAAACAGTACCATGAAATAACTTTCATCTTGTGGAGTGAGATTTAAAACCAATCAGAAAGTGGTTGGTTACCTCCATAGTACTTTTGCTGCTATTGGACCAGTGGGTCTAGCTTGTAGGGTCACAGCTGAAGAAGACTAATAATACCCCTCCCTGTAGTGCACATATAACGTAAACTCTTCTCCCCTGTTTGAATGGATTATTTGTCTTCTTTCAGATACAGTTGTTTCTCAGTATCTGAGGGGAATTATTTCCAGGACTCCTTGTGGATATCTTAGGGTGTTCAGGACCTTACAAGAGCAAGTGAAGTATTTGCATATAGCCTATACTTACACGCTTTAATTTATCAGATTATTTATGCTTTCTAATTCAAAGTACAGGAGATTTAAATTATTACTATACTGGAGCTGGGGAGATGGTTTATTTGGTAAAGTGCTTGCTGTGCAAGCATGAGGTATTGAGTTTGATTGGTATTACTTACAAAAAATAGTCAGGTTTGGTAGCTTCAGGCCTCTATTGGTTGAATCAGTGGATCTAGAACCTGTAAGATATGTGTGGCAGGCCCTATATATGTTAGATTCAGTTTTTCTTAGCCTGTGGCTTCCCTCCCCTGAGTCCCCTTTACAGAATATTTCTGTGTAGCTCAGTCTGGCTTTGAACCCTTCAACTCCTGAGTGCTGGGATTACATGTGTTTACTAACATGTCTGGTTGAAGTTTGAAATTTACCTTCCTGCTTTTTAAAAAGTGGATCAGTGTTTTGTTGTGACATATTTTAGAAGTTCTATATTTGCAGTTTCAGATAAATGTATTTATTAAGTAAATAGCCAGGAAGAGTAAAAGAACAAACAGAAAATAACAGATAACACCATCAAATGTGACTGGTATAGCCTGATTGGGAGCAAACAAAGGTACTATCATCTAGTGGAGGCTTGCACCACCTAACAGAAATGGACTGGAGCTACTGGTTGGAAGGCTCTCCATTTAGTTCCTACTGCAGGCATGTTGTTCCACGGGTTCAACAATAATAACCTCTGTTGGAAAGGGTTCACCTTGTGTGTTCTCGGGGACGCAATGTTTTTAATCCCTGAGGTGCTTGCTGATTTTCCTTCTCCCTGTTACAGAGCTCAGGAGAGAGGGCTTACCCAGAGAGGACACTTGGCATAGACATGTTGGAGTCTGAGACAAGGGAGGGCCCCTTTCCCAGTATGCTTTTAGTATGTTTAAAAGCAGGGCAGATTACAATTATGCTGTGGTAATGTTGTGACACAACCTAGAGTCACCTGGGAAGAGGGTGGCAGTTGTCAAGATCAGTCCATGTCTAGAGAGTTGTTTTGGTGGGATGGACTACTTGCCCTTAATTTAGATGGTACCATTTCAGGGTCTGCACCCTGAACTGTGTATGAGCACAGAAAGCTAGCTGAAAAGAAGCAAGCATGGTCCTATCTGTTTTTCTCTGGTATTGATTGTGGATGTGATGGAGGGAAGAAATGAGAACAAAGTGTAGTGATGCATAAAACATGCCCATGACTTTGTCAGTTCAGTTACATATGTGTGAAGGGCAGTCTAGGAATCCAAACTGCAGTATCACAAAGTCAGACATGAAAAACACATAGTTCACATTTTGAATTTTAAACTTTTATATTTTTATTATATATGTGTGGATGTTTTGTCTATATGTATTTTTGTGTACCACATGTGAGCCTGGTATTCATGGAGGTCAGAAGAGGGTAGGTGTTGGGAACTGGAGTACAGGCATTGTTAGCCACAATATGGGTTCTGAGCATTAAACCTTCATCTTCTGCAAGAGGAGTCAGTGCTCTTAACCACTGAGCCATGTCTCTATCCTCCCTGACCCCCCATTCTCTTGAAACCTCAGGCAAAAAACCCTTCTCTTCATTACTGAATACTGACTTCTTTACAAAAAAAAAAAAAAAAAAAAAAAACTTAAGCCATCTAATATAATTTAAATTGTAGCTGAACTAATTGTGTTGGATAGAAATGAATTTACATAGGTTTTCATGTTTTTCAGTTTATTGCTCCCTTCTTGGTGGTGCTGGGGGTGGAATCCAGGGCCTTATGCATATAGGTAGGCACATGCTGTACAACTGAGGATACCTTCCACTCAGTTCCCCTCTCAGGAAATGCTGTCTCCTTAAAGGGGATTTTAGCATGGTCACTGGGGAGGCCGAGTGTAACAAAGTATGGGTTTTTCCGCCTGCCGCCGCTGCTCTTGACCCGCCGCTGCGCCAGCCCCAAATAATACACAGAGACTCTGTATTTGATACAATGCTGTTGGCCCGGTTACTTGTTTCTTATCGGCTAGCTCTGCCTTAATTATTAACCCATTTCTGTTGATCTATGTATTTTCACATGGCCTTCTCTTACCAGGGAGGTGGCTGGCGTCCAGCTCTCTCCAGACTCTCCATCTTGACTCCTCCTTCCTACTTCCTATTTCCTCCTTGTCTCCTAGTCCCTCCTATCTTCCTTTCCTATTGGCCAACAGTGCTTTATTACTAACCAGTATGAGAAACATATACAGAATGACATCTCCCATCAGCCGAGAAACTCTCGAATCGACCACCTGAAGAGAACTCCTCTGGATATACTGTTGTGAGAGTCATAGGGAGAATGGTTTTCTTCTTTCCTTAACAAACCTGTCAGAGGTGTTCTTAGAAGCTGCTGAAGGGAGGGCAGGAAACCGCCCCTGGCCTCCAAGGCCTTGGTATTCATGCACTGGGCCTGAGCATGTCTGGGGTATTCACCTTTGAAGCTTTCCTGTCTGGTGTTAGGTCTGCTGACTGATTCTGGTGTCATTTCATAACCGCACATGCTTTTCATGTTTTTCAGTACTTTTGATGATACTCTCGTGAGCACTTCTTCATAGTTTGCTTAGATCAGTGGTTCTCAACCATCCTAATGGTGCAGTTCATTAATAGTCAGTCCCTCACGTTGTGGTGACCCCCAACCATAAAATAATTTTCATTGCTGCTTCATAACTAATTTTTCTACTGTTATGAATCATAATGTGAATATATATTTTCTGATCATCCTGGGTGACCCCTGTGAAAGGGGCCATGACCTACAGGTTGAGAACCATTGGCCTAGAAGGAAACTTCTTACAGTTCTTTCCCTAAACTCAATGTAGAATCTGCTGGTGGAATGAATATTTGGTTGTTACAGGCTCCCTGATGAGAAGTGCTATGCTGTGTGGGCTGCATGTTAGGTTGCTACTTTGCTTCTTAGCCTGGTGGTGCTGCTCAGGGTTTGGTAACGTGGCACACAAGTCACCTCTAGTTTTCTCTTGAATGGAATAATATAGTTCTTTACAGTTATCCCTAAGTTATAAAGAAGTGTATTCCTCTCTAAGCTTGGAACTTTAGTGTTTACATGTGGATTGTGGCTCAGTAAGGGCTAGATCCTACTTGTAGCAGTTTTCTGGAATTCCAAATGTGTTCTCTCTAATAGGTATTGTGAAAGAGAACATATAATAGAGATTTTTGAGATTGGATGCTAGTTATCTGTTTTCTGTTTCTATTTTGTTGTGAATTTAGGAGAAGTTGGCTCTTCGACAACAGTTGAATGAGGCGAAACAGCAGCTCCTCCAGCAGGCAGAGTACTGTACACAAATGGGAGCAGTTACCTGTACCCTCCTCTGGGGAGTCTCCAGCAGTGAGGAAGTCGTCAAAACCATTCTGGGAGGAGTAAGTTGTGTGGCACTGTTGAATGTGCCTTGTGACCTGGAAGAGACAGCATGTGTGCCATGACATTGAGCCCTGCCATGATGTAAATTTGCTTTAGTTCATTCATCGGGATGGTTGCCAGGTGTCTCTGCTGTTCATTGTGTCACCTGGTGCTCTGGGGATGTGTAAAATGAAGTACCATCTTTCTGTCCTGGCACCCAAGGGGAATTTTTGATATATCAACCACTTTAATGTTTATATGTAAGAAATTTAACAGCAAAGTACTCATATGTGGTTTACCTCTTGGGTAATATATTACATTAAAATTTTGACATTATATATGTGTCTAATACACACACACACACACACACACACACACACACACACATCTAAGAAAACTTCCTATAAGGAGAGGAATTTAAAATGGCCCTTGATGAGTAGGTAGAAATGGCAGAAAATGTGTGTTAAGGACAGTTCCAGAAGATAGAATCAGTCAAATCAAAAGTATAGGGTGATAAGTCTGGCTTGTAGTAAGAGGGGAGGTCACTTGGTGGAGTGGAGGGCTCATGTACTGCAGCATGGGAGATAAGGCTTGTTGTTATTGGAATGTCATTTTGTGATTGGAGATAAACAGATGCTGGTCCCATTCCCCCCCTCCCCCCACTCTCCCACCCTGTGAGTAGAAGGCTGCAGAGTCTTCCAGTGTTTTTACATGAGGTGTGCAGCTCTCTGCAGGGCAGATGGAGAGGAAAGAGGCACATGAGAGCTGTGTAATTGAGTTAGATGTGGTGTCAGGGTACAGCTGACAGCCGAGGGAGGAAAGCACCAGCAGCAGGATGGGTTTGACTCCAGGAGAAGGAATACAACTGGAGAGGGGGATGCTTGGCAAGAAGCCAGAGCTACATTAGTAACTGTGTAGAGGATGCAGTGTTTGACTTGAGGGAGGACTTAGTGTCCTTAAAAGTTTGTTGAACTTTATTAAAGTGTAATTTCCTGGACTACATGAGATTTTGTCTTAAAGATGATTTCCGTGTTGTAATTTGCCCACTGGACTTACACAGTTCCCTGGCTTCTTAGAAAATTTCTAGAGTTGGGAAACCATCCCCACAGTCTAGTCTTAGAACATTTTATCACCCAGGAAGTTCCCTTCTGCCATTCTCTCAGATTTTGTTCTTTGTTTACACATTCTAAAATATACTTGGGTTTTTAATGGTTCTTGACAATTTTATACACAAATATACACACACATGCACAGTATATCTCAGACATAGATAACTCAAATCCCCCTCCTACTTCCTCCTTGCACTTCCTTTTTAAAATTTATACTTCACTAAGTCTACTTAGTGCTGCATGTATATGCATGGGTGTAGCCATCCACTAGAGCATGGACCTACCAGCGCCCACAGTCCAAAAGTGCAGTGACTCCCCCAGCTGCCATCAATCATTAGCAGCTCCTCAGTGAGACATAGTGAGGCATAGCACCTCATAAGCCCATCTCCCATCCTTGCTAGGGTGTTGACCGGCCTGATTGTACTGTGAATTGACCAGTGTCTGGAAGACAGCGTTTCACAGTGCTCCTTTTTACCCTCCACCTCTGACACTCTTTGCACCCAGTCTTCTGTGTTGTTTCCCAAGCCTTGGTGGTGGTGTTTCATAGATGTCCCACTTGGGGCTGGCCACTCAGAAGTCACTCACTCTTTCCAGTGCTTCCCTCCCTGGGAACTCTGAGTGGTGGCATAGGTTTTTAATGATCCATTCTGTTTTGTAGCCAGTTTTTCTTCTGTATGGTTTGCACATTTGTGATGTTGTTACCCTGGCTTCTGTGGAGAGATGTGATGCTTGTATTCTTTTATTTTTAAACTTTCAGGACAAAGCATTGAAGTTTTTCAACATCACTGGTCAGACGATGGAGAGTTATGTGAAGTCATTGGATGGGGATGTCAAGGAGGTTGATTCTGATGAAAACCAGTTTGTATTTGCACTAGCTGGAATTGTAACAAGTGGGTAACATTTCAGACATGGTGCTATGTATCAGGGTTGGTGATTACAGTTAGGGATTCATGTGTGTTCCAGTGTCTGGAGGACTATGTTCCCCTTGGAGTCTATTTCAGTAAGCTGGGATAGGGGTCAGATGTCTCCAGTATGGGAAAGAACCCCAAGGGCTTGTGGTCACCATCACTTTCTAGAAATAAGTAATCTAAAGGAAATACAGGTTCATTTGATTGCTATTTATCTTTATTTTTATTTACTTATTTTTGGTTTTTCAAGATAGGGATTCTCTGTGTAGCCCTAGCTGTCCTGGAACTCTCTATGTAGACCAGGTTGGCCTTGATCTCAGAGATCTGCCTGCCTCTGCTGGAATTTAAATGTTGCACCACAACACCTAGCTGCTATTTATTTTTGTACATAACAGAAGTAAAAGAAGAAAAGCTTTGGAGTGTACATTTACTACTTGTCATTTGGAATCATTGCTGTTTAACGCATATCTGGCTAAAGCAAAAGCTGTGAGCTAAGCTTAAACTAAACTCCACTTAACAGGTTCTAAAAACTTTGGTTTTTCAGTAATTTTTCCCTGGAAGCTAATACATAGAACCTATTACTGAAGAAATGTTACAAAAGAATTTCATAGCAAAACTATAAAGGAGTTGGTCATGGTGGCATAAGCCTGCCATTTCAGCATTTAGGTGGCCCTGAAGCAGGAGAATTAAGAGTTTGAGGCCAACTTGGGCTACATAGCAAGACCCTGTCTCAAAAATAAAACTAACACTGCAAACCTTTAAAATTTTTATGAGAGATGAACCAGAGACCAGTGATTCCTAGTATAGTAGGTGGGAGCCCCAGGAACAATGTGCTTAAATGGTGACCTTTTACCTCTGTGGTATCCTATGTACTCAGGATTATTTTCTGCTGTTTTTTTTTTTTTTTAAAGATTTATTTATTTATTATGCCATGTTATGCCTGCATATATCCCTGCAGGCCTAAAGAGGGCACCAGATCTCATTATAGATGGTTGTGAGCCACTATGTGGTTGCTGGGAATTGAACTCAGGACCTCTGGAAGAACAGGCAATGCTCTTGACCTCTGAGCCATCTCACCAGCCTATTTTCTGCTGTTAATATGAGAAAAAAAATTGTTATTTTTCCATTGCATTATTATTATTATTATTATTATTATTATTATTATTATTATGTATGCGTGTTCATGTGTGCACACGTGTGTAGAGGCCTCAGTTGATGGTGGGTGTTATCTTTGGTCATTCCCTACTTACTTATTGTGATAGGGTTTCTTGTTAAACCTGGAGTTTACTGATTCTGGCTAGCCTAGTAAGCCAGTTTGCAGCAGCGATCTCCTGTCTCTGCCTCCCAAGTGCTGAGATTACAGGAGGCTGCCATGTCTGCCTATAATTTACATTAGTGCTGAGGCCCTGAACTCCAGTCCTCATGTGTGAGTGGCAAGTGCAGCATCTACTGAGTCATTTCTCCAACCCTGTGTTACCTTTTTACTGAAATCAGTATGAGGCAAGTCCTATGTAGACGATGACTAGTACTACTTCTCCTTCTTTAAATTTGAGACAAACTAGGCTCAAACGAGGTAATCCTGCTTCTGCTGCTTCAGTTTTTTTTTTTCTTTTCTTTTCTTTTTTTTTTTATTTTTTTTTTTATTTTTTTGTCTTTTTGTTTTTCGAGACAGGGTTTCTCTGTATTGCTTTGGAGACTGTCCTGGAGTTAGCTCTATATACCAGGCTGGCCTCGAACTCACAGAGATCTGCCTGCCTCTGCCTCCCGAGTGCTGGAACTAAAGGTATGAGCCATCCACACCTGGCTCTGCTTCTTCTTGAGTGAAGGGATTATGGGTGTGCACTACCATATCTGGATGACATTAAAAAACAAAAACCCTTTGAAAGTTGGTGGTACTTAATTTATTTTCTAAGATTTATTCATTTATTTGTAAAGATTTATTTATTATGTTTACATTGTTCCTCCTGCATGGCTGGAAGAGGGCACCAGATCGTATTACAGAAGGTTGTGAGCTACCACGTGGGTGCTGGGAATTGAACTCAGGACCTCTGGAAGAGTAGCCAGAGTTCCTAAACTCTGAGACATCTCTCTAGCCCCCTAAGATTTATTTTTTTATTTTACCCTGCAACATAAGTGTTTTCCCTATGCGCCACTATGTGTGCCTGGTACCTGTGAAAACTAGAAGGGGCTGTGAGCCATCATGTGAGTGCTTGAAATTGAACCCAAGTTTTCAAGAAGAGCAGCAGTGCTCCTAATTTCTGTGCCATCTCTCCAGCTCTCAGTGGTATTTCTTGTTGGGTGGATGCTCAGAGTCCAGTACTCTGCCATGGCTGGCACTTTGTCTGAAGCAGGGCAGCTCTCTGTTCATTCATCATAGCAGCTGTCCTCTCCATCTTCTGAGTATCAGACATTAAATAAAGACTGTGTGTAAAAAGAAGGCATTGGATTAGTTCTCTTTAAGTGACCTTAAAGGTCTGTAATCCATGTGCTTTGTCATTTTGCTAGGTAGAGAATTTAAATTGCATGGATTTCTGGCTGGTGTGCCATGAGGCAGGCAGTCAGCCAGAGGGTGGGACAGCTGATGCCCAGCATTCAGATTTACTTGGTTAAAGTCACAGTAGTGCACACCTGAAAGGGGCCTTGTAGGTTTGCCTGAAAAAGGTTTCAAACTCTAGTGTACATCGCTGAAGTGGGTTTGTGCTTTTCAGTTACTGGATGTACGAAGAGTTTTCCTGTCCCTAGCGCCTGTTCCCAAATAACTGATACTGATGCTTAATATTACTTACAAATGCTAGACTGATAGCTCAGGCTTGTTCCTAGCTAGCTCTAATATTTTAAACTAACCTTTATTTATGCTTTGCCACACAGCTCATGGCTTGTTACATGATTTTCTACATGTCCTGTTTCCTCAATGGCTGGCTGGCATCTCTTCTGACTCCACCCTTCTTCATCCTAGCATTCTGCTTATCTCAGGATGTCTCACCCAATCTCTTTTTGCCCAGCTATTGGCCAATCAGCTTTTTATTAACAATGAGAGCAATGCATATTACATTGTACGAAAGGATTATTCTACAGCAACTGGAGCCATTCAGTAGGAATGGCAGCACTGTGGAGACTGTGGGCTAGCAGTCTGTCACTCCTCTTGCTTGTCAAGATGATCTTCTGGTCTCGCACACAGCAAGCATTCCCCTGGTTCCTTCTCATCTGTAAGAAGTTATGAGAATTTCAGTACACCCATGTGGCAGTGTGACACTGCAGCTAGTGAGTGGAGCCCCTGCCCCTCTTCCATAGTCAGCCTCTAGAAGCAGCTGTCTTGGTGATGTGTTAAACATTTGCTTTGGTTTGTTGTGGTTGGCTTACATGGCTTTGAGCGTCTGCCCCAGTTTGAGCATGTTTGTCCCCTTATCTCTGCCTAGAAGTCCCGATTTCTTAGGTGCTTCACAGCTAGCTGTAACTCTCTGATGTATTTAAGAGTAGTTGTAGCTGGTTAGTGGTGGCGCACACCTTTAATATCAGCACTCAGGTGGCAGAGTCAGGCAGATCTCTGTGAGTTCAAGGCCTGCCTGGTCTACAGAGCGAGTTCCAGGACAATCTCCAAAGCTACACAGAGAAATCTTGTCTCAACAAATAAATAAGTAAGTAAAACAAAAAGCTGTGATTTTATAGAATTTCCCTTGCCTTCTCCTTCCTGGGAAAGAATGGAGCACCACTTTCCAGTTTGCCATATTCTAAGCAAAATCCGATATTAAATTCCTTACTTGTCCAGTCATTGTTCCTGTCTTAGTGTTAGATTGCTGTGAAAAGACACCATGACCATGGCAACTCTTTTTTGTTTTTGTTATTGTTGTTTTGTTTTTGAGCATGGCAACATGTATGCCACTGGAGCAGTAGCTAGGAGCCACATCCTGATCCACAGGTGGTGAGAGAGAGAGAGAGAGAGAGAGAGAGAGAGAGAGAGAGAGAGAGAGAGAGAGAGAGAACACACAGTGTGTACTGAGATTACTGGTAAATACTTGTAGTTATGTGTGGATACTGGTAGGGCTAGTACTGGCTTTACCAGCCCTAGAGCCATTGTAATGACTTGATCTGGTCTCCATGCTCATTTGCAGAACTTGATGTATGAAAAAAAATGCATTTGCTGATCACAGTAGGGCAGAACATTTGGGAAAGATTCAGTTTTCATGCTCTACCTTTTACATCATATGATTCCCATTGCATGTCATAGTTAAAGTCATTAGTCGATTCTTGAAGGATTTCTCAGTGCTTGATCTCAGGTAACACTAGTCATCAGTTCCACTTTCTGCTTGATCAGTTATCTATTGGTCTGGTGTTCTGGGGCATATGCCGCAGTCATGCAGTTCCCAGCGTTTTGTTCCATGGCTTATGATATTACTTCCTGATTTGTAGTGGCTCTTACTGTTGCCAGCTCCACAAACAGCACTGTTTTTAAATGCTCATTGATCAGCTATTTTCCTTGGGTCTGTAAGGACAAAGGCAGGGAATATACTATCTGCTAAGCAGGATTTTTTAGATTGTGAAGTACCTGTGATCTTTTAGGGAAAAAAAAAACATTAATTATTATTGTTATTATTATTATTATTAATTATTGCACTGGCTGGTTTTGTTTGTCAACTTGACACAAACTAGAGTCATTAAAGGGGAAGGAGCCTCAGCTGGGGAAATACCTCTATGAGATCCAGCTGTAAGGCATTTTCTCAATTAGTGGTCAATTGGGAGGGCCTAGCCTGTGGTGGTTGGTGCCATCTCTGAGCTGGTGGTTCTGGGTTCTATAAGAAAGCAGGCTAAGCAAGCCAGGGGTAACAAGCCAGTAAGCATCACCGCTCTGCATCAGCTCCTGCCTGCAGGTTCCAGCCCTGCTAGAGTTTCTGTTTTGACTTTCTCCAGTGATCTGGAAAATTTAAGCCAAATAAACCTTTCCCTCCCCAACTTGCTTTTTGGTCATGGTGTTTTGCCTCAGTAATAGAAAACCTAAGATTATTATTATTATTAATTTTATTGTGTGTGTGTGTGTGTGTGTGTGTGTGTGTGTGATTGAGTCAGAGACAGAGTGAAAATGCATGTGTGTTAATGCCATGATGGGTGCATGACGGTTAAAGGAAAACTTTTGTGGAGTCACTTCTCTGTTCATCGATATGTGCTCTGTGGGAAACCTGTGGTCTTGATGCTTTGTTCTGTCTTTTGCAGATGTTGCTGCCATTGCATGTGGCCGTGAATTCTTGGTGAATTCCAGTCGGGTGCTCTTGGACACCATGTTGCAGCTGCTGGGGGACTTAAAGCCTGGCCAATGTACCAAACTCAAAGTGTATGTAGATAGTAGCTCACAGTCTCAACTTGTGTATTGCCTAGAATATACTGATGGAACCTTTCTTAAGTAAACACAGCTGATCCAGCAGTAGTGCTAAAAACAGGAAACAAATAGCTTGAGGATAAAGGGATGTGTTATTTCTCAAGTCATATTTTATGTGATTTTATTTGAGATAGTATTGATGTGTATGTAGCCCAGGCTATCCTTGAACTCATGTTCCTCCTGCTTTATCCTGCTGAGGGTTGGCTTAAGTAGTATTTTAGGAAAAAAATGAATCAAAAGGAACATTTACCCCTTAGAATGATCAGTGGACCCTAAATATTTTAGGGTTGTGTTTCTAGTGGCCTCAGAATGAGCTTCAGTAGGTATTTGCTATGCAGTTTCCTACACAGGTACTGATATTTGTAGGTATTTTTAAAATCATTGTAGTAAATCATGACAAACTGCCATTTAGTATCTCAAAGGCTTGAGCAGATCCTGTGCTGAGCATCTCATAAGGTCAACTGATATCAGTGTTGTACTCAGCTGGGCCTCTGGAGGAGACTCCGGAAAAATCTCAACACAGGGCTGATACTGAAACAACACTGCGACCTGTAACTCAAATTCAACTAGACTGTTGCATTTTCCAAAGGCTTTAAACATGAGGCTTCTGACATAATATTCCCAATGCCCAGGATGCAAACAAAGAGAAAAAGAAAACCTCAAATACATGGGAAAAGATAAGAGACACCAAGGCCAAGATGGCATGGGTGCTAGAACTATCTGCTATGTATATATGTATCATCACTTGATTGGCCAGCCAATCATCCACCCACTTCCCTTCCTTGATTTGGAATACCAGTGAGGTGGGCATTTTTTTTTTTTTTTTTTTTTTGCATGCTTGTGTCATCTCTGTGAATCTACCCATTATCCCTTTCCTGCTAAGCTGTTTCCACAGTGGTATGCTGATGTCTGTGTGGGTTCTGGATGCTGATCCTCTGCCTTCTTCCCTTCTGTGCCCTCTGTAAGGTCAGTGTTTATGGGCCAGCTAATCCCCCTCTCTGCTTCCCAGCAAGCTTTGTGTGAGGGCTGGTTCTCTGGCAGTCTCCCTGCCTCCCTTCCTTGGCATCTGTGCTTATGGATCTTGGTAAGCACACGTTGATGGCTGTAATGGTGACAGAGCTGTCCGCAGAGCCATCACATTGGCTTCCCTTCCCATCAGCCCTCTAGGTCTGTATACAGTCAACTTCTAATCTCATGTGGGATATTGGCAAGCTCCAGCCTCAGGCGCTCCCTCACATGGCTGGCTATCTTCCATGCAGGCTGCTTACTGCCTTCTCTCTAGTGGTTTTAGGTTCTTTTCTGCTGAAGTCCCTTTGCTTTGACAGTAGCCTAAGTCCTTTTGAATAGGCCAATAGGGCCTTTGCTGTGCTATGCTGAGCTGAGCTTATTTTTGTATGTCTGACTCACTTCTCCCCTGGGGCTTTTCCTCTTATCACTTTACCATCAAAAACTACTTACTTTCACAGTTGGTGCCTCAGGCCCAGAGATGGGTTCAGTTTTCTTCCAACTTCTGTTTTTACATGTAAAACCTTTTTAAAAAACAAACAAACAAACAAACAAACAAAACTTCTAAAAAAAATCTTGGGCTGGAGAGATAGCTCAGTGGTTGTGATTTTGAATGAAATTGGTCCCATATGGTTGAATATGTGACCCCAGTTAGTGGAACTGTTTGGCCTTATTGGTTGAGATGTGTCCCTAAGGATGGACTTTGAGCTTTCAAAAGCCCATAGCATTTCCAGGTAGTGTTCTCTTTGCCTCATGCTTGCAGAGATTACATTTTTTCTGTTTCACTTGCCACTCACTTTAACTGTAGACCTAAATAAGAGCAGGGTCAGAAATTATGACACAACCTAAATGCTGTTTTGCCTTGACATTCCCTCCACTAAACAATTCCATTGCTTTTGAATCCAGCCTCTCTCTCCAAGTTATCCTTGTAGGGGTAGAATGCAGCTAGATTCTTTGCCAAAATGTAGCATGGATAGCTTTCTTGTGTTACTTTGGTTTTTTTTTTTTTGGGGGGGGGGAGGTGGTTTAGAGGTGAACAAATGCCTACTTAACCCCAGATAGGGTACTTGACAACAGACCAAATTAACGATTGTATCTAATAATAGTGAACCAAAGTTTATTGGGATTACTCACTGAAACATGGATGACTCAAAGGCAGTTCCATCACTGAAATTCCAACTCCAGCATGAGTAATGAAGCTGTGTTTTTCAGTTCCTCTCACAACTTTCAGGCAGCTTGGCTCCTCCTCTAGCAGTTGTTATATAACTGGGGGGGGGGAGGCTTTCCTAAGTTTTAGGAACTTCCCAGGGAGTATAAGTTTGTTTACTTCCTGAATTTTTCTTCCCTGCCATCATGTGACACTGATATTTCCATTTGACTTTTGATGAAAGCAGGCAACTAAAACTGTTGCTTTATATGAAATATGTGAAATCCTTAAGCCTTTTAAAGGTGTTTATTCAGTTAACAAGCATGGGAGAGAAGCAACACAGTAAGATGTGGGCTTTGTCATTTCATCTTTATGCTTAGTTCTCAGATACTGCTATTTTCTTAAAATTACTTTGTGGAAATATTTCTAGAAGCATTTTAAAGTACATTTCTGAGGCTGAGGCTATGGCCTAGTTGTTAGAGGACCTGCCTTGTACACAGGAGGCCTACCCTATCACCATATAAATCGGGCACAGTGGTGCACACCTGTAGTTCACACTGTAGAAATAGAGGCGGGAGAATGAGAAGACAAGTTTAAGTTCACAACTACATAGAGTTCAAGGCCAGCATAGGCTACACAAGACCCTGTCTCAAAGTAAGCAGATAACAAAAATAGCAGTCTTCATTCTGTCCCAGAGTTATTGTCTTTGGCAGATAAGAGCTCCAGTGGGAAAGAGAAAGAGGTCTTATAGCAATCCACATGTAGCTGAGAGACTCCAGAAAGCAAGACAGATATGATCCAATGGGTTTGCTCACAAAGGTGGGCTGGCTTTCCTGCATGACACATAGCTGCCATGAAGTTGGCCGTGAAGGCACTGAGACTTCGCCAGGCCAGTACTTGCACTGATTTCCAACCAGGTGGTAACATGAGGACACTGTCAGGTGGGGGCAAAAGAAAATAGAAACTTTAAGGAGCAGGGACTAGGTGGAGTACAGTCCACCATCCTTGACTAGAAATGGCCTTGTAAAGCCCTGTTCTCCCTCCTGCCCTTACCTGACCTACATGCATGTATGTTCTGGAACCCCTCTCAGTCAAACATTCTATCTGTTATTTAGGCTCTATACAGGGCGAGGATAATCCCTTTACTGGGCTTGCAAACCAGCTGGTATCTGGGGTAGAGTCTTAAGCTGACAACCAAGTGGTCACTTAAGAACAGGTCCTTTCCTGGAACCCTATTCCATGTCACCTGTCAGGGATCTCTTCCCAACAGGTGAGGAGTGCTTTCAGCTCAGCTGTCAGCCACTCCTTTTCTTTAAGCAGGGCCATCTTCTTAGGAGTTCCACTACCTGCCAGTATGGCCATAGACTGGCACCCAGGCTTTCACCACATGGCCTTTGGGCAACTGAAGGTCCAGACCATAATAACTGCCTTTTGAAAGACCTGATACTCAAAGCACTATGTGTGGATTTGTAACCAGCAGGGCTGGTGTTGGTCTGCTCTCTTTGTGTTACACAATGGATAAGCCTTAGCATACAGACAGTATGTTAGGACCGACCCCATCAGTTGTAAATCATAGTTTTAGGTTCTTACTTGGCAGGGGTGGGACACCAAATCTAAATAAGTATGTTAAATAGTTAATTACTAGGGCTGAGGCTGGCTCAGTGGTAGAGCATCTGGCTGCTAAATATGTGCAAGGTCCTGGGACTGGGCCCCAGTGCAGCAGGGAAATGTACTTCATTGTTGTGCTCCTTTTAAAGAATGAGTAGATTTCTAAATGTAGGTTTCTGTCTCAAATCATCTGACCAGGGCTAGATGTGTAGGATACTGGTAGAGCATTGCCTATAGCATGTAAGTGCTGGGTCCTATCTCCAGCACCCATTCTCTCTCACAGCACATGCTCTCTTGGAGGAGAAACTTGTTTCTATGCCTTAGATTGTCTGTTGGGTTCAGCTGGCTGAGGGTGAGTCTGTCTGTATCCCAGTAGTCCCCTTTCTTGTCTCCATCTTTGGCTGGCCTGTTTTCTGGGGCCGGGTGGCTACTGTTGTCCTTGCTTATGGAGCAGGTCTTGCTGTAGGGTGAGAAAGGTGATTTTGTTGCATCACTTTCTCTTCAGGAGACTCACTTGCAGGTCAGGATGGAGAACGGCAAGGGAGTGCTTTCTGTCCTGTCCCAGGCCTCATTCCCTTCATTTCAGTAAACAAAATTGCTTGGGTGGCACTTTAAAAAGGCCTAGAGTTAACAATAGACAGGTCTTGCAACATGTTTGTTTTCTGTTTTGCCTTCATTTCTTTTGTTCTTAATGTCAGCTGTGTTTATAATAGGGTTAGGGGAGCAGATAGATACTGGGCCACTTGACAACTGGAAACTTGATACATCATTCATAAGTAGTTTTTGCTGGAAAGGACATGTCGTATGGAGAAAGCACTTGCACAAGAAACAAGAGTCTTCTAGGTTGGTGTGGTAACTCCTTCATGACTTAGAGGTCTCTGGCTTCTGAGACCTGTACCCTGTACACAGGGCTCAGATGACACCATGTCTGTCATAATTGCATTGGTTCTATTTTAGCTTCTTAAGAACAACTAATCTGAGAACAAGTGTGAAAATTCAAAGACATTTGCTGATACGAGTAATATTTGCCGTTTTCAAGCTATAGGACAGTCAGTGACAAATCAGTAGGACACATTTGCTCAGCTTTCCCTGAACCATAGTCAGGGAAACCAAGCATCACATGGTAGCTTTGCTTTTTGAGGTCAAGAGAAGATTGTCTGGTCTGTTTTCATGCTATAAAAAAGAAGTTGGCAAC